AGTCGAAAGCTCAGCACATTTCCACCGGAACCGAATGAGGAGATATGCAAGACTCCATTAGTCCGAACCTTCCGTGAAATACAGCGTCAACTTTCAGTGGGATTGACTTAAGTTAATATTAATTACACTCTGTCAGCCCTGATGAATATCAACCTAGAATGAAATTATATGAATTTAATTAATTACTGTCGAGTTATTCCAGTTTCGGTAGGTCTTTTAATCTGCATATAAATTTGTAAAGGAAGGCATAATATTTAAGAAATAATTTCACTCCATCAGGTCTCCTATTGGCGATTCACATTTAGGCTGGATTGCAATTTCGATCTAACTACATTTTCTTGTTAACAGCCCATGTAGATTTAAAACATTGAATTGAAAATTAGCAGCCTTATGATAAATGTGTAATAAAAGATATTACTTATCACATAAATAAGTAGTATGCCATGATTATTAGTAATTGAGCGGTCGTATATCGTTCCGAAATGTGCCTTAACAATAATGCATATCAAGTGATTCTCGTTTCGCTTTCAAATTCGTGTTTTTCACGCAATAAAAAAGAGTTGGGGTTGATTGGATAATGGAGTATCGTGTTTGCCCGCCGGCATACACGATCGCGACTCGAATCCCACTGGGCTGCCGATGAGGAGGGCAAAAAAAGTTTAAGGCCTAAAATGCGAACAAAATTTTGGTAGCTTCAATGCAAAAGGCAAGAATTCTAGTCAAACCAACTTGATAGACTAGTCGATTAGGAATCAGTCCAAAAAGGCACTATTACAAACTCTTCTATCCCTCGACAACAATAAAATATATCGGTACATTCTTCTTCGGTTTTTAGCAGGGCCAATTTGCAAATTTCCTTCCCCCCAACTTTTCCTACGAAATTGATGTGAATTTTGATTTTGCCCAACTCTTCTTGACGTATTCATTTAACCGACTCTTTTTGCCAAGTCAAAAAGCCTAATTCTCTATTCTGCCTTTATTTACCTTTAAATTCCCACCCACTACTTACGCTTGTCTTGCTGCTGTACATGTTGTCTGTGTCCTTTGACATCATGCATGTGTCTTCGCCTGTCTGTCTCCCTTCGTCAGATACAAGATCCAAGCATACGAAGACGGCGAGGAGTCGGTCACATTGATGACCATACCACCGGCCTATGGGATGCGCAACATCTTCGGCACGTACACTTGCAAGGCACAGAACGAGTTAGGCGAGAGCTATGGCTGCGTCCTCATGAAGCAGGCCACACACCCGGCCCGACCCGCCCTCCGAGCTTGCTCTGTACGTTGATACCATTTTTCTTGGTATGAAGCAGTGCTAAAAGTAAAT